TAAATATATTTGTTATACGAAAGCTCTGTGTCTGTGGTCGCTGTGAGTATCCATGACGTCACAGATGTTAATAATACATGATATTATTTTATGATTGTTCGTCCATGCTTTTAAACATTTTTTTAAAAAATGTATAGAAACATCTAACGTGAACATTGGCCCGGACCACAGTTTAATTTGACAGAGATCGCAATTATTTTGCTTTGGAAGCATCGGCCTGTATGCCGCTTCCGTATTCGGGAGGAGACTGCAGCCTGAATGGGTCGGCTCCAGCGCGAATGTCACATCTGGGAAAATTGGTGTAATGTTGTGCTTTCCGGCCTTCAAATGTGTTAAAAACAACAGAGAGGCCAATTATGCAAATGGATTTCCAAAGTAATATTTTCGTTTATTTTAATACTGTGAGTATTGGTGTTGAACATTACCCTAATCTTTATTTCTGGGAACAGCGTAAAATATCACTATTGCAAAAGGAAAGTTGCACATTTCAGTTTGACAAGCCCCTACAAACATTGAGGAACAATGAGATTTGATCTTCAAAAAACTACAAAAATGTACGTTTCCAAAAAGTTTTTTTTAAAACTTAAATTAGCAGTCGAATTTTCTTTTCAAATACTCAGAAGGAGTTTCATTTTAAAAAGTATGAGCAATAATTAAGTTAAAAATAATATTAATAGTACGATGTTATTTGTGCAATGGGGTAAGAACGAAATGAATATTTATTTTGCAACAACATCCTTGTTCAAACGCTTCTCTTTACTTTGCTTTTTAACTTAGTACCTAAGTAGATATTATCTTACGACGAACCAACCGGAATACCTTATGAAATTTCTTCATTTTTTGGAAACGTAAATTGACATTAAAACGTTTATTAAATTGAGGTGATCAAGACAATAACTGCAGATTCCAACTGACTTCCTGCCATATACCCACCATCAAAAGAATTGAGATACGGCAACACCCTTAAATTGCACCTTAAAATGTGTCCGCAGTGAAAGTGAACGTGAACGAAAACAGAAAAAGTCATTTTTCTCGAAACTAATTTTGGTTGGGATCTGCTGTTATAATTCTGAGTGTCTCAATTCAATAAACGACCAATTCGCACTCCATTTTCCCGTCTTGTCATCGTATCGGTCGACGGCGACCGAGACAAAACAGCTGTGCAGCTGAGTCGCGAGTCTTTCAGCTTCCTTCACCCTTGCACTGCCCGCCTAGTCCCAAGCACGAAACAGTTTGGTGAAAATCAAGTTTGCGCCAATTTTATAGGATTAATTTTCAAGACCTAATTATCAAGACCCAAATGAAGTATTAATAAACCAGGAAAGTAATTCAATATTGGTATACATTAAAGTTGTCACTTTCACTATTTTATTCAGAGTATGTCTAGATTTCATGGTCTGATTTTATTACACTATTATTTGTTACATTTGTATAAGCATTATTTCCTTTAGAATTGGTTTACCTGATATGCTTTTGTAATGTAACTATTTAAATTAACTAATTTTCTTAATTTGTTTTCGTCTTTACCTTTTTCACGATGTACTTGACTTTTTCAGTTCATTGTTAGAAATTATGTTTAAGGTAACCGATTTCAAGAAACTTACAACGATACTAAAACCATCCCCTGGTAAATACAAATTTTAGCCATGACATTTCCCTTTATGCACATGTAAATGCATACAACATGCCTATTCAATGCAAATAATATATCATAGAAATAGAAGCATCTTATAGCTCTAGAACCAAAATTTTCTTGAATCATATACTTAAGAGCAAAATGTTGTGAATTATCAAAGTTTGCCTAGTAACATTCTAATAATTGTGAATCTGTTCATCTATTATCCACTTGAAAAGGCGTTTGTATGATTAACAAGGAAAAATATGCTTAGCACACACAAAGAGAAATAATGAAAAGTTAATGAAAGTTCAAAATGAAAGTAAATGTCAAGAGTAAAATAAAAATATGAAAATATAAACATGGAAATACGAAAAAATAAACTAGAACCAAATATGAACAGGAAACAAAAAATGTAAAAAAGAAACGGTTTCGAAACGAGCACGACAATAAACTTTCTATTAAAGATTCAAGAGAGAATTTCTATACAGGTAAAATTCCCTAACGATAAAACAGTGTAATAGGCAAATATAGGCATAAGCACAAATAATGTGGATTGCAGGAAAACACAATACGAGTTGCTCGTTTGCACTTTAGAAGCAATAACAATAAAATATTATATCGGAGGAAAAAGAATCTCTCTTTTAGAGGGATGGTAAACCTAGGTTGCATTCCAACATTTCACAAGGTAGAGAAAAATTCATGTGTATGAGAATTATAATCCGAGAAATGCCCGATTATGGAAGAGTAAAATAGCACAAATTTCCACAGCTAGATGCCGTACAAAAATTTGTGTAATCATGTACTGTGTAAGCATATACGTAATTTCGGCAGATGTATATACATCCCCCATATATTTATTTCTAGTTTGACACGTGTCCCTGAAAGAATCGAGCCAACACAACAGGCCCACCTGAAGCTCAGATTATCAAGAAATAGCCACGCACCCTATTAAGGACTTCGTAAACAAACCACTCCAGCGCCAAACCACTCACCCACACTAAACCCTATCACATTCCCCTTCCCCCGACCACTCCCTCAAGTCGCATTGTTGTTTTCTTACCTCTCCCCCTCGCTCGTCGCACTCACGATCACCTTTCCTCCACCCCCGCCCCCTCTCTTCCCCGCCTCTTCCCCTGCCCGCCCCCGCCTCCGCCTCGCCCACCCCGCTCCATTTTTTTCCCCCCCCCGGGGCCCCCCCCCCGCCCCCACTCCCCTCCCTTCTTCCCGCTACCGTATCTGGCGAGACGTGCGGCACGTCCCCCCGGGCCGCCGCGGCCCGTCCCCCCGCCCCACTAAAAGAAAAAAAACCGACAAGGCCCCGCTACATCAAAGCCGGCGCGGCTCGCGCCCAATGCACATTTGAGTCTAATGGTTGTTTTGTACGCGGCCGAGGCGGCGGCGCAGACGGCCGGCGCTGGGTCGCACCGGACGGTGTCAAGTGTAGCAGCCCAAACAGCGACGGCCGACGACAGGACGGCGTGGAGCGGGCGGGGCGGCGGAGACACGCCCCGGCCTGTCGCCCACAGCCCACGCTCTATCCCTGCAGGCCCTCGGCTACCGTCCCCCGTCCGCCCCCCTGTTGGAAACTCTCGCGCCAGCTCCTGCTGAGGTGGCAGGCAAGCTATACGTAGAGCACACCACTGCACGATTTCATTTACGCTGTAACGTAAATGTTACATGTGGACTCTGTCACGTTACGAATCGCTCGTTTGAAAAATATTGATGTCATAAAATGTTGCAAACTGAGAAGAAAACTATGTGCTTAATTCCACAATGAATAATGTTCAACACTTTTGGGCAAAGAAATAGTATTCTTTTTTGTAAAAATCACGGTATTTTACATCTTTTTTGCACAAAAGGTTTAGACTTCTACATATTTAATATCACTCCTGGGTTGATGCGATGGAGCTTTCGATCAACCGAATAAGTGGAACACATCTGGAAGTAACGGACATCCACGGCTCACCAACGATTGAGTCTGACAATGAGTTGCATTAAACCGACAATTTTCTCAATTTAACGATGATTTAGCTAAGTGGAATGCGATACACGGAATGTCAGCAATACATCTTTCGTGAACTGGGGAAAAGTATTTCATATAACGACATGCGTGATTGACTCTGCAGCATATCCCCGTTTCTGAAAGTATGTACGAATATAGGTACTCACAAGAAACGGACAAACATTTTCGGAATTGAGAGGTCGTTTCAACATATTATAATTCTGACAATAATGTTCTTATAAATTAAAATAATTTAGACAAGAGGACGTGTTACGTACAAACTTTAAAACAAACAGAACCGACTAGGAATGCGCGGCAGGCCGAAAATCATTCTCCTCTTAGTGTTAATACTCAACAACTACTCTTATTTTTTTTAAAAAGTGCATGTTATCCTTCAACGATTTACAACTGAACGAATCCAAAAAATATCCAAGACACGAGAATCAATATGGTTGCAAAATGCTTTGGAATGTTGTGACATGTATCTGAATTTGGAAATGCGTCCTTGCTGCTCAAAATTTTAAGATAAGTGAGATGTGGATGTAAAACGTTATAAAAGTTCTACACATTTGCTATACAAAAATAGAAATCTCTCAAAACATTGTCTCATATCATTCAGTATGAAGTCTTGCAGTCGAATGAAAAAAAGGTTTATACCTTCTGGAGCAAGTGGACCCAATCCTTTTTATTTCATGCAAAAGTCACAAACTTTTGTTATGCGGAAACCTCAGACTTCTTTCAAAACGCAAAATAATTTCTTTCTTCAATTGTCTATTTATCAGAGTTTATTGGAAATTGGAACTAAACCATATTTACAAATGCATATTATTCTATATAGAGAAAAAATAGCCATTTTACAGAAAATTTTGAGAAGTCCTCGCAGCTTCATGTAAAGTACGTCCCTAAATAAAAAAATATCTTAATGGCATTCAAAGTGGCACAACTCGACCTTACATCTGACGTATTTAGCAAAAGCATTCAATCTAACAGAGTTATGCGTGACACAGTTATTCCGTTTATAACAAATTGATGTTAGGGTACATAATTGCACGTAATACCCCTTTAACTTCACTAAACATAACTATCTGTAAATCAGCATTAATAGACCTCAATTCTAACGGGTATGCGAAGTTGCCAATGAAAAGAACATCAAACACGGATTTTACGACTGACACTGGAGATCATATTGATGCGATGATTACAACAAAACAAACTGAGAGCAACCCACTCTACAAAATGAAAACAATTTTGGGTGGAAACAAAGTTAAAATATCAAAATTTTGTTCCTGGATGTAGATCTGAGAATTCGTGCTTCCAATTCAATATATATGTTCATTTCACTCAGTTTTTTTTTACTCTCTCCCCTCAAAAAACAGGCAGGTTGGGAGCTCTTCAACCCAACCCCACCGGCGAACACCGGTTTGCCGGCCTGCGAAAGCTCTCTGGATCCTACTTGTTACTCCGGCGCCCCCCGCAAACAAATTCCCTGGTGACGACACAGAGTTGGACATCGCCCGGGGCGACGTGCTCTCGGAGGGGGCTGGGCGGAGCGTTCGGCCGCCCCCTCTGCGTTCACGCTCCCCGCTCCAGGGGTGGTGAAACTGCAGACCCTCGATCGGCGGCCAGGTTCGTGAAAAAAAGGGGAGAAAGGAAGGTAGAAATTCAGAAGCAGGGAAACCTCTTAAGCCCGATACTCATACATTTGGGAATGTGTTCCTCTCCAGAGGCACCAAAATGATTTTCACAAATGAGTATCCGTGATTGAATTCCAGAAAAAACATAAATTGTGAAAAGAGGCCATCAAACTGATTGTTTCCTAAAAACTGCAAGATAATAATGTACTATTATGAAAGCACAAAAAAATACATCAATTTTACGTGTTAAAAGAGACCACGTACGAAATAATAGTGCAAATTAAAATTTTAAAATGTTAATATGAGAAAGATTTTTCTGAGACTTACGTGATCTGATGACCTATTACACAAGGGCAGTTGTACACACCATTACAAATATTCTTCTGAGATTACAATATTTACCTATATTACAATATATTTTTCCCATGTAAAAAGCAAACTTTAAGAGCTAAAATGTGCAGAAATATTGAAGTTAGATATAAACTGTTCATAAAAACACTGGTTAAGAAACAATACTTTTTGAAAACTAATTTCTACAAACGGTTTAACAAGAAATTTGCTTAAAATATATTTTAACTATGTTTGGAAAACGATTTGTGAAATTTTAATTATTTGTTTTGAAGAATCAAAATTTATTTTTCTTATTTAGTTTAGCCTAAAACCATATAAACGTATGAATGCATTATATTCAACTGAGTACGTCGAATTTCGTGTGATTTGAAATAAATATGTTCACTTAATTCTGAAAGTACTCACTTTATAAAATAATGATATTCTTCGACTTATAACATTTTTTTGTACAATACCTTTGTTAGTGAATCATTTAACAAATTTCCTTAACGTTTTCAACGCAGCGGTAACGACCTTAGCAATGACACAGGTAAACAGCACATTGTTTACACAACTCTCCTTCGATTCCACACCTCACTATTTCGTGTGCGCACTTGAAAAGGTTTGGAGAGCCCTGTGGCAAAGCGGACCCGGCGTTCGCCGTCTCCGTTCTAGTCAGCCGCCCGCCCGCGCCGCCCCACCTCCAACGCCCCCGCTCAGTCGGAGCAAAGCGCGCGGGCGAGCGGGCGACAGACTGGGGACAGTCGCGTTCACGCGCGCGTGTTGTCCGGCAGGCCACTGCCACAGGCCAGCAGGATCCCGCCCCCGCCCCCGCCAGGCGGCCTTCCCGTGCAGGCGCCTCCCCCGCCGCCGCCGCCGCCGCCGCCACCGGAAATACGCCCGCCTCCCGTCGGGATTTAATTTTGTTGATGTGCAGAGGTGTGGAAAACGCGTCGCTGTTAATTTCGAGCAAAACGAAGCGGCAGCGGCTGCAGCAGTGGCGCGGGGCGCGAGGAAGGAGCTCGACGCACAGCGGGGAATGGAGGAGGGCGGGGGAATGGGCGGAGCGGAACTATTTCATGCGTCACAGGAAAGACAAAAAAAATAAAAATTTTATTTTTCAATTTTTGAATTTTTATGTTAATTTAATTTTTCGTTTTTTATGTTATTTAATCAGCTGGATTTGAATTCGTAATATAGGTCGTTCGATTCACTTTTCTATCCGTTATAAAAATTGTGTATATATCAGTGGTTGTTGATGATCTAAGCTGTTTTATAGCGACCTTAAGTAAATACATTTTCAAAAAATTGGAAAGAGATGTGTAATACAAATGATGGGGAATAGAAAGAGAGAAATGAAAGAGTGAAAAGGATGTTGGTGTGATACAGAAGTCGTGGATATCGTTTCACTAAAATAATATGGCATTTGGTACGTGCAAGAAGTTACAAGTGACAGGTGGCCAGATAATATTGTTGGGAACGGGAATCGTGGATATCATGTAAGATAAAAAAAATATGCTGGAAATTATCTTCTTAAAAGTAAAAGGGAAGTCCATGTAAAAGTGTAGAGAACTTACTCTTCAACAGTGCGTTTCGAGTTATTTTAAATGAGTAAAAAGTTTGAAGTAAGTTGTGCACTTAAATCTTATTTTTTAATACATTATGAAACTTTTGTGGTTCGTCTAAACGTGTAGGCAAACAAGCGTAAAAATGAGAAAGGTAAAATGGTACACCGGGAGAGATTTATCGAATATTAATTTATGTACAAACAATTACTTACTAACATTAAAAAAGTTTTATTCTTAGAATCTTTCTAGTAGAAAATGTAGACCATGCCACAAATGTTCCAATTATAGCATGTTCTGTGAAAATTGCAGATATTTATATATATGTAATATAAATCAGAACTAAACCAAACCAGTTCTGGCCCGTTTTTATCATTAATTATGAATGAATTATGGATGATGTTAATGGGTATGAATTTGCTGTTTAATTTCAAACTAAAAAGTGAAAAATGTGGGCAGTAAAAAACTTGACACAAAAAGACATGTACTTTGCTATCGGAAGTAGAGTGAATACTCACGAATTTAAAATATTACTGTATCTAGCCAAATAAAATAAACGGGGCTTCCTGGTAGAACCGATTACAATCAGTCTTTACATTGCATAATTACAAAAATAAGATGAAAAATCTATCACACCATTTAAACATACCTTCATTTATACCTTGAATTAGGGCCTGAAGAACCTTGACGTTTTTACAGTACAATATTATGGCATGTCCGGACGGGTAAACAAGGAGCGCGTCAAATTGCAATGATCACAACAACTTCATCTGCTGAACTAGAAATGGAGCAGACACTTAAACCACGCGACGACGTTATGGGGAATAACAAAATGGGTGTCAAGCGCAACAGACTCGAGGGAGGCCTCAAGAAATCTGCCGTGAAACAAAAAATGACACGGTTTGTGATTGATTAAAACGTCTAGATACTATTGGATAACTGTGAACTATTGATTTCCATTTAAGACTTAAATTCAGTTCCATTTTAATAATTACCGTGCTATAAAAAACATTTAATACTGAACAAAATGCTATTTAACAATACACAGTCTTATTAGAAATTTCGAAAAGGTACCATGGGTGTACACGCTTACAAGAAGTTCAAATTTTAAGCCACATTTAAACAACAATCACAATATTTAAAAAAAATCAATTATTATAATAATACAATATAACACTAAATACATAAAAAATGTAATTAGAAACAAGCGTATTTCTACTCGGGAGATGACTGAATTTAGGATTTAGCTCAAACAGGCTACTAATTTAGCCTAGAGGTTGTGCACGGGTCACAAATTGCGACATGGTCAACCAATTCCCTTGCGTCAGAAGGCGCAAAACAGGAGTATATATTTAAATATTCTGTATTTAATCGACTGTTTTACAATTGTAGTCAAAATGCTATATTAACCATAAATGTTGTAAGGTTTAGAAGACTAAGAGTCTACGTTTCTGGTACTAAATTTAGGAATATAAACCGAAACGCATTTAAAACAAAATTTCAGACAATTGTAAAAAATTATTTACATTTTAAACAACATGTAGCTTGAGTAACTGATGAATTTACTTGGCAAATGTATTGAAATGGACTAATAAATCTGTTTAAGATCCATTCATAAATTGAAAAATCACATTGTAGACTCTTAGACCATTATGAAACTAAACGTTTCAATAAGCGAGTGAGACCAGTCTCAAATCCCCACATCCCCAGATGCAAGCTACGTTACGAGTGTAATTCTCACCATCAGTCTCCAACGAAATAAACACTCGCCCTTCCCCACACGCTGTCTGCAGAGGTGCGCCCGTTTTCCATTTCGGTTATCACGTATGGCTGAACGCCTCAGCACAACCACAGCAACACAGGGAGTACGCCACCCTTCCAACCCCCTTCCCCCCCTCTCGCTTGCGCGTTTGGAGAGACCGGGTGTCCGGATGTTCCCTCGACCGACCACCCTCCCAGCCAGAGCGTTCGCGGCGCCCACGGCGCTAGCGCTGCGCAGTCGCGGCGCGGCGAGGCGCCAAACTAATAAAAAAAATGTTTCTACTTACGTGGAAACCGCGTTTTGATGTGCACCCTTCCGCGGGCACTGTAACAGAAGAGATTACCTTCAGGTGTTTTCCCTTAATTTGCGTAACGGTGTATCATGCAGAAATCTTTTGTTTTGTTAACAAATTCAGCGTGCGTGCTTGCGCTGGGGAAAAAAAATCTCTGGTCCTTCTTTGTTCCTATACGTGGAAAGCAGCGCGTTTTGAAGGACGCTTAGTAATTTTTCGGAATTTTTTATTTCGTGTTGTTATAATACAGGCAACCACGCACAGGTGAACTTGACTGTTCAATGCATTCACAGTATAATGAGTACACATTGTTAAAGTTAATTACAGTGCATTTGGTACATTGAGGGAATTATGTAACAGGTTTTTAAATTTTATACAAAGGGGTAAATGATCATTAGTAAATTATATAATCTACTAATATGTTTTATAGAAAAAACGCAATTCCATCGTTAACACGAATTATTAATTATGTGTTGTTAATATTTTATTGATAATTGAGATTCAATTTGCCAATCTTCATTTCATTATGCCAACTTTCTTTTCTCTGAAATTTCTATCTTATTCCAGTTATTCCAACTTAACGATACCACCTCGGGGTCGCAGGTAATTACGTTACAGACTTTTTACCACCCATACAGTGACAAAAAGTGATCACATTCGAACTCGTAGAAGCTCTGATCGTTTGTAATCTGATACTCTGTTTACGGTATGAATAGTAGCACCACATAAGTATGTAGGTCGCGGCCACTGTAGGTTTCTTCATCCATCTTTAGTCGAGGAAACCTAACTATTTCATGGTACAGAAGTTTGATAAGACCTTTCCTAATGCTAAGTGTTATTTTACCAGGAGAGATGGCTCAGGGTATCAGCTGATGTCACTGCAATCATTCTGACCGGGAGGTCCTAGGTTCGAGACCTGACGGTGGCAGGGTTTTCGACACTAGATTGTAAGCTAGGTCGAATTCAGTCCCTGACTAGAGGAGTATTCGGCTGCTCTGGTCGAGAGTTATGCGACACCAGGCGAATGCCAGAGCAGAACCCTAACAAATGGACCATGGACAGCACGTGATCTCACCTTTCTCTTGCTTGTCTTATCCTCACCCCTTACACACTCTTACACTAAGATGCACTACACTACCACACATGCCGGGAGACCGGCGGGAGCTTAGAGCTTGTCCCTGCTGGGGCAGTGTTTAGTTGATGGGAGATACCTGGTTGAGGAAAAACCCGTGTACTTCAATCGAAATGAAAGTTGTAATAATTCACAGGTCAACATACACTACACGTGGAATTAAACACCGGAGGCTTTGAACTAGATTGTGTGTAGAAGAAACGGATGCACTAAATTAAACCGTCATGTGAAGCATTAAAACAACTTAAAAATATTTAGTGAGCATGAGGAATTTAGAACATAGTTACTTTATTTACAGCAAGTAAGAAGTGTAAAAGTTTAGATTGAATATTTTCAATTCAGTTAGAACTGGTAGATGAGAGGTAAGTATAGCAAATTATAAAAAGAGAGATGTAAAACAAAGAAAATAGAAAAACAAACGACAAAAGAACCAAAACTCTAGTGCGTGCATCCATTGATATTTGTACAGGTAACATTTTCATCAAACTTTAAGAGCAGAAGAAAAAGAGAAAGCCCAATAATAAAAAGTACAGAAAGTTAGTAGTGAAAGGAAAGGAAATGGAGGCGCAAAAAATTGATGTAAAAATACCCACGAAGAAAAATTAGGAAAAGAAGAGAAAATGTACACCACCATCCAAAATGAAATGGAAAGTGGAACTCAAGGGGGGGTTCGCAAAACAGAAACAAAAAGAGATACGCGTACAGGCTCGATATGATCGGCGAGAGGGCGGGCGAGAGGGCGGGCGAGAGGGCGGGCGAGAGGGAGGGCGAGAGGGAGGGCGAGAGGGAGGGCGAGAGGGAGGGCGGGCGAGAGGGAGGGCGGGCGAGAGGGCGGGCAAACGAGGTACCGCATGGGCGAGCCCCCGATTCAAAGCCAATCACGGCGGTTGCCGCTTTGTGGCTGAAATATTTCCGGCTCCGCGCCGCACCATGATGCAATTATTCATACCGGGACGCGCTCTTTTGACGGCGGCATCGCTCGCGACGCGGCTCTGACGCTCCCTCCGCACCGCGCCAATCTCGACACCTCGGGCGCTTCGCTCCCCGTCCCACCCCCACGCACCCAGGGCGGCAACTGCTGGCACTGCAGTGCCTCTGAGCGGGAGGTCCTACGGTCGAGTCTCGGCGGTGGCAGGATTTTCGACACAGGCTTGTCAGCTAGGTGGGATTCAGACGCTGTCTTTTGGAGAATTCTAGCGGCCGGCTGCTCTGATCAGTCATGTTCCGTGATTTAGTCAATGAATACCCGGCTAATGCCGGAGCAGTGCCCTAATGAACGGGCCATGGATCTGTCGGGACCTTTTCCTTCCTCTTCTTTGTCCTACCTCTACCCCTTGCTTACATACACTTACACTAACATGCCTTACATGATTACACTCTCCCGGAGAGCGGACAGGAGCTTATATCGCATCCTAGCTGGGGCGATGCCCTACTGGTGGGATATACCTGGATAGGGAAAACCCCGCTAACCGACGATGGGTCGGCGCAGGATCTTGCCACCCATCGGGGGATGATCACTGCCTCTCCCTCCAGGAAACATGCACTACACCTACGAGACTATTGACTTGTTGCAGCAGTTGACGCTCCCGCAATCAATAACAATCAATCAATCAAACACACCTTTCTCTTTTACTTGTCCTGTTGAGTCCTCTCTCACGTCCTCTGTTTCCCAAACATGCTCTCGTTTTCGTTCCTATTTTTTCGTGTCCCGCCACGCCTCGCCTCACTTCACTTCACTTTGCCTCATTTTTTCTCTTTTCCCATACCCATCTTCCCTCTATCTGCTAAACGCGCTTGACTCACGTAACAAACTCACGTTTCAAAACTATTATGATCTTACAAAAATCCTGACAAATAGAATAGTAGGTATACTAATTGGCATCAAATGGAATTATTTTCGATAATCGGCGAAATTTGTTTCATCACTGTCTCAATATTTGTGTCGAATACTGGCATCAGTTTGGTTTTTTTTTTTTTTCAATTTCATTCATTAGCACTCAGTACAAAGCTAACTTCGAAGATTTCACGGTCATCAAACATCACCAATAAAATGATAAATAAAGGTGTAACACTAATTCATTTATACTACACTTAATAATAATGGAGTAGGTGTGTGTCTATTTGTTAACCCGACAGAGTTCGCACCGAATTTACGAACGGTAATGCTCGCATAAGGTCTGTAAGTTCCTGCGACTGGTTTTTAAAAACATATATTTATGATCGCTTTATAACGTCAAGGTTATAAATATCAGCGACCCCTGTAATTATTCAAAAATAATAGTTGCAATTATGACAAGACAAAAATGTTAACGTTAAACACTTTTTCACAACATGTAGGTTTAATTTAACTAAAGCTCTAATACATTATTCAGCTACAGTTTTGTAGTTCCTAAGAATTTTATTATATTGGCACACCCGTCTATGAAAATAAGTAATAATTGTAGGGTTTTTTCAATTTTAAGAAGTTTTCTTATATTATCAGTAGCGGGCACTCGGGAATAAGGTGGGTGGTAGAGACTTTTGCACCGCACTATGGATAGGGTTCTGGATCAGATCTGTTAAAGAGAGTCACACAAGGTCTGCAAGACCCTGCCACTGTTTGTGTCTAGATGTCACCATACGAATTCTATATTTTTTACCGAAAACACTTGATTTGCGTACTAGTTAAAATGCATTTATTATAAACAAATATGGATTGTATTTAAATAGAAGATAATTATATTGCAAGTGTTGGTGTATAAAATTTCAAGTAAAGTTTAATACATTCGCAATTAGTGCAAACATTATTTAATACTACAACTTTATAATGGGATTATATTCGTAAACTATTACTTACAGAATGCAATAGGAACATTTATTATGGAGAAATTATATATCTTTACTCAGGCACCATTAGAAAATAACAGATATGTGCTCTTAGGACAGACAGACGTTTAAGAAAAAATAATGTACTGGGAGCGAAAATATTAAGCATTTTTTGACTTTTCTTCCAAATTATTGTCAGTCTCTTTAGCAAAACTAGTAACAGTTGACATTTTTAATGTAAAGTACTTAGAATGTTGTTTGTTACTGCATAATCGGATTGCTCTTGTCCGACATGTTGAACATTCAGATACTTGGAAAACAGTGAATTTTAAACTTTTAAGTTACTCTTTAAATCAGGAACTGAGATCTCTAACCCGCATCGTTCTACCGGAGGAACAATTAATTAATGGATCTCACAGACCCATCGTAAGCTCTGCCGAGTTAAGAACGTACACCAATAATAATGATGAACATAATTTAAAAAATTGACTAGTTGGCCGTATGTGGATTACATGATTCTGGTTTTAAAGAAAGATGCTTCTCAAAATATCAAGACCAATTTAGTGTTAACATAAAAAACCTAAATGAACAGCCTCAATTCACTACATAATTAAAATTTTAATATTGCGTGATTATTGAGTGCTCATTTACCGTTGTATAATTTATCTTTTGAGAAACGCGGTGACGAACTTGATTTTCCCTACGTTGAAATTCTCATTATGGAAGAAAATGAAGGTGACACATTTTCACATGTAATTATTCAGCAAAGAAAGATAAAAGCGAAGAGAGATTAATGTTGTAGAAAATAAAAATGTGGTTTCATCAGTCTTCAAATATACGGTTAAAAATGTATTATGTACACAGAATAGAATGTTTAATATCATCCTTCTACCTGTAATTGAAGAATTAACCGATATTCAATGTGGAATATCTGAATATAAGTTTAATTACTATCGATTATTAAAAAATATAACATTAAATTTTTAACCAAATTATCACCGTATTTTGTTCTACTAATTACAAACACTTATACTACGTATCGTGCTTGACCTATTATCTGCTCAGAAAACAGTCGCTTCAATACTTTCGTGTCAATCTACACGTTTTTGTTTCTACAGTTCCTCCGAATATTTGGACGCCGATTGTTGTAAAATTCACAGCCATTCATTGAAATCCTCCCATTGATATATGACGTGTTGATCAACATAAATTTACATTACAATAATTGTTTCGCTAAATCATGCTGATTTTCGCAAAATTGTCCTCATTTATGTGCTAGGTCGAAATAACCGCGAGACATGTGACAATATGACTGCTCCGCACACAAAGTATTTCATCCCCAAACTTATATACTTCAGATGCTTAGACGAGAAAAACATACAGAGAATTAATTCATAATGCAATACATAGGAGTAATAAGATAAATTATTGAAACAAAGGAATCCACTTTATTCATCGGGCATTCATTATTTGTGCTCACGCGCCTGAGTTCCCTCTCCCCCTGAGTCGCGCGCGGCCCACCCGCCGCCACGCATCCCTCATCGGGCACGCCGCAGCAGCCCTGCGCGCGTTGTTTGTAATATAATTTCGTTCAACGGAATACGATTAATCCATATTCAAAGCCATTACACCATTTTTGTCATGTGTAAACAAGCTACATTTATATGTAAATAACCGTTATTTTCGAGGTGGCCAATGAGCGTCCATTTAACGTTAACCACAGCGTATCAGTGCCGTCACCGCCGCCGCCATGGACGAGCCGTTTGCGAGTCGACGCGTGGACGGGCAGCAGGGAAAGGGGGGAGAAATGTATGACGGGAGGAAGGCGAGAAGAACATGAAGGAAAACGGGTAGAGGATGGATTGAGGAGAGAAAACGTGGAACAATAGCTGGTGTAGGAAGGAGAATTTGCAGGAAAAAGCGCGGGGATAAGACAGAGAGAGCTCAGAGGATAAAGAACAAAGAAGAGAAAGAGAGGAGAAGGAAAATAATGGAAAAGCGAATGGAAGAGTTAGTTGGTTAATTGTTGGTTATAACAACTGCGTGTCAACTGCTAAGGTCATTAGTCCCGTATGTGTTGTGCATGTTATCGCACACTTTTGTGGAGATATTCCCCAGCTGGATGGTGAGATCCGATGCCGATCCGACCGGTCTTCCATCATGTGTGGTAGTGTGTAGCAAGTAAAAGTAAGTGTGTGTGTAAGGGGTGAAGATGGGACAAATATGAGAAAGGAAAGATCGCGCGCGGTACGAGGCACGTTTGATACTGCTTCGGCATTCGCCAAGTGTTGATCGCAGAGCAGCCGACCGACCGTTAGAATTGTCCTCCAGACAGTAAATGCGTTCGATCTAGGCATGTAGTTCTTGTCAAAAATCCTGCTATGGGACTCCAATCCTAGGAACTCTCGGCCAGAGACAGTAGATGTCCTGAGCCTCTCAAGAACGAGTTGAGGGGGTGTAGATACGGGAAACTAAAGATAAAGGAAAGAGAGGGGGAAGAGATGCAAAGGGACGGGTTGTGTGTAATTCAAACCGGAGGCAGCGGCGAGTCGTGCACAAACAGCAAGGTGGGGTGGCGTAGGAGGGGACCCGTGGAGTGAGGGACGAGGCAGTAGGGGTGGGGCGCGCACGGGAGCAGCGCGCCGCGTGATTCACAGCGCTAATTACTTCAAAACGCGCCGCTCGCCTCCTCCGGTCGAGCGGCCGCGTCTGCCAGGGCGGTCGCTTGCACGGTCGCTTGCACGGTCGCTGGCGGACACGTTCGCGCCGCGCCACGCCGCGCCGCGCCGCGGCTGCACCGTGGGGCCCAGTTTAGGCGGAATTACCGCTATCTCCATATCAAAGCGATGGAAATGGCGAAGCGGCGCGCCAAAGCCTGCGGGCGGGAAAAATTAGCTCCCGTTGGCTCGTAAACGCGCCGGCGGCGGCTGTGCGCGCTAGGCGCTGCACGGGGGGAGGGGGTGAAGCCGACAGACCGATAAAGGGAGAGCGGAGATGAGCCAGTCAGGGCTGGGGCTGGGAGACCGGGCGAAAGGAAAGACCGACAAGCGAAAGTAGTAAAGGGAGAGGGATGAGGAAAGATGGGACAGACGGTGGAATACAGCTTGGTGGTGATAGTATGGGCGCAAAGAGAGAGGGGAGGAATATACGGGGCATGGAAGGACAGAGTGGAGGAAGGTGAAGAAGTGAGGTGTAGACAAAGGCATGGTATTGTGAACGGGAGAGTATAGTGGAGACAGACAAGGCCCAACACAATCTAGCTAGAGTGAAGGGAACGACGAAAGGTGGCACGAAAAAAGTGGAGAGACAGGAAAAGGGGTGAAATGAGAAGGGTTGGTATAAAGAGACTGAGCGGTGATAATCGGACCGGAAAGGATGGAAGAGACAGTAACAGAACGGAGAACAACGAGACAAAGATGTGCAAGGAAGAGCGGGAGGTGGCGTACAGAGGATTTGGAGAGAAATGATGATTGGGAATTACATAGTGTCTGGGCTAATAGAGGACGAGGCGGGGTGTACGTACACCGTCAAATCGAATAATTATCGAAACTGGACACAGACGACGGAGTTGGAGCAAAACTACGACAGTGAGATGAGCAAATGGACAGCAGTCGCACCTTTCAGAAGGCAGCGGGTTACATTTGCACCGGTGTGCAACTCCAGGGCGACGGCCGCTTGCTCACTGACGCGTTGGGGACTAACGTGATGAGGAGCGTTGGCAAGTGGACTGAACGCGTTTCCTGCAAACACGTTCAGTCCATTTACCAGATTGAAAAAAACAAAACAATATTGATGTAGAATGATAAGTGACATACGTTTCTATATACACACTAGTTGAAAGTTTTTGACAAGATGTTGTGAACTTTATTGCAAACAGAATACCACTTCATAGCGAAAACTGTTAATGAATGTATATGAACAATCCTAAATAATAAAAATGAATATATTTTATTCAGAGAAGACATTACTTGAATAATAACAAAATGGGTTTTTCAATAATATTTATACATTTTTTAGAAGTAGGGTCCGAAACATCTAGCAGTAGTACTTAATGAATGGTTTGAATGACATCAGATATGTGAGGGCGTTGGTTTTGCAAAGTTAATTGACGAAGTGAGTTCTTAGCTGTTCCGAGAAAACCTTGCTTCAATTGCGATCTATGGATCTCTTTTTGAACTACACCTCGCTTCGACTCGTAATATCAAATAACACCAAACTTGCGGTCTAGAAAGTAGGAATTTTGAGCCGTATGCTGTGGGTGTACAATATTATTCAAATATTAGATTTTTTAAGCGTAGTTTGCACGTCCTTAATATTCATTGAATACATTGATTTTAAACAGTATTTGTTTAAACAACTGAAATAGCGAAGCATTGCCAGGTCCGCTAGTAGAAAATATTTCATTACTGTACGTAAGCAGTAAATATGGAGATTTTTGAGTTCCTATTACAACGAGAATTAGCATTGAATTAACGAATTTGCAATGTGCTTCAGGAATTAATTGTGGTACTTACAGCAAGTTTTATTAGATATTGTTAACGACTTTTCATATGCCTTCCTAAACATTTAACATTTTTTTCTTCACTAAATTTTCTTCTGCTCTTTCTCGTCTATTAAATGCTTCTGTTACGCTTTTGCAGTGTTTATAAAGTCTTCAGTCTTTCTTCAACATGTTACTGTCGCTGTCAAATTCTTATCCGAGAAAACCATCAGCTATTCGCTGCACATCTCAGTCAGCTTGAATTCTTGAATATCTACTAGTGACATAGTCGCCTATTTGATTTCAAGTTATTTCCATAACCTATCTTGGATATACAATTTAAAAGTACCTGATAAACCTTTTTAAGTCATAATTTATGATCAACACTTTGTTTTACAACAGGGAAAAAATGATCTTCCACAAACAAGTTTATTAACTAATAGTCAGTCACAGCATTAGACCTATGTTTTGAGATATTTTTCCTTATGTTCAGTGTCTCCACAGAATATTAAGGAAAATTTGAAACGTATAAAATATAGAACATAAAATTTTAAAATCAATGAAGAACACAAACACTATTAAAAAATTAGAAATATTATTTACCTAAGCAACATGGACAACCTTATTAGTGGTGTGTTTCTACACGATTCCATTTTTATTTAGATTTCCATTTATTAGTTCACTCATTTTGCAAGACACACAGCAATATATTCAACAATAGTTTTGCCAACGTTCTTAAGAATATTCAATTTCAAGGAATTCATCCAGCTGCATTTGCGTTTCTGGCTTACGTAATTTGTTGAATTTACATACTACCTTTTATTAAATAGAATTATTCTATTATTAAACTTCTTGCTGTTATAGTTTTTTTCTTTTCCCTTCTCTTCTCTTCATTGTAGTCATTTAAATTCGTTAGTTATGATTAATCTGATTATGATTAATCTGATAAATTCTTAACTTCTCATTTGGTGTACCTGACACTTCATTGGTCTTCCTATTTTTTGAGTGACTTTTAAAGTGCTTGAAATATATATGTTCTGAATTCTTGACTCAGTTAATTATACACTTGTGACATTGTTCCCTTTGGTCATTCATTTTGTTATTTAAATTAAGTATAAATCCACGAAAGTATTAACATTTAATTTCTTGTGAAGTGGCCTCCAGAACAGGCTCTAAGCTCTCCCAACATGTGTGGTAGTGTAGGCCACGTAAGTATAAGTGTGCATATAGAGGAGAGGAGAAGACGACGATGAGATAGGAAAGATAACGCGGAAACCATGGCCAGATAGTTGGGATAATGTTCCGCTTTTAGTTGTATCTAATCAGAGAAACTACTGATTAGAAAAACTGGCCACTGGAAATGCCATGTATTGAGTGGTCGATTTCAGCCCAGTTATGTAGATATTTAGCTAGAATCCGCATCCATCTCTGACACTCGAAACGTAGGTCGTTCATTTAAATGATGCTGAAATGAGAACGGTGGTGTAATTGAGCACTCAGAACCGGACACTTAACGCAACTTGAAGCAGTAATCAGTCCAAAATTTTAATCGTTCCTCCCCTTTTAACCTTTGCCACATTTACAGGGAAGCAGGCTTCTGCAGCGCCCAGTGCGACAACCCACAGCCACACCGCTCCCCTCCCCCCCAGGCGGGTCGGCGTCGTCGCTTCCTCCCCCCCTCCCTCCCGCCTCTTACGTCTTCGCCTGGGGCTCAGCTCCTCTCCGCCTTCCGCACTCAATAAAACCATCTCCATAACGGCGCGAGGCGTCATAAAAATTCAAAGTAGCTCTAACTCAGCCAATCAGAGACACGCGTCGCATGCTGATCATTTAGCCGGCTGCGGGTGCGGAACGCGAGGACTCGCGAACAGAGCGCAGCCGCGACGGTCGCCCGCCGCCTATTTGCTGTCTATGGAAATCCGACCGATAACCTGTGAAACTATCATCAGCGATTCAAAGCGGATCGCGTTATGGAGGGGGCGGAGGAGCGAGGGGGGATGTGGGAGGGGAGGGGCCGTCCGAGGCGCCGCGCGGAGGTTGTAAATCCGCGGAATAAAACACGCCATGCGGTGCGAGCCTTCGCCCTAGAGCTCGCTCGCGGCGACGACCTGCGGTCGGATGGGGGAGAAATGAGGACGGGCTCACTGCGAGGGATGGAACGGAGGAAAAATGAGAGGTAAGAAAGAGAAGAGTAGCAAGAGGTATGAATGAGGGGAAAGAAGAAGGTATGAATGAAGGGAAAGAATGGCATTCCTGAAAATATGTAGAGATAGAGGTATGAATAAGGGGAAAAACGAATGGTAGAAAATAGTAATGAATGAAGGATACGGGAATATGAATGAATGAAAGAGAGGTAGAAGAATTAATGAAAGTTATGTAAATGAATGACAGAAAGTAAAGAAATGAAGTGAAGAGACCGAAATATGTAGAAAGGAAAGACTCAGAGAGAAACTAAGGGATTGACAGAAAGCAAGAATAGTGGAAAATGAGATAAAGCGTTAAAATATAGTGGCAAATGTGTATTCGAGTTTGTGGTTTTGCAATAGTTTCTGATGAGCATCATTTGGAATCAATGTTCGCTTAATAAAAGGATCGCGAAACAAATATTTCAAGTGGACAATATGAACAAATATATAAAACAGTTTTAACAAAACAAAGACATTTAAGATATTCTTTTGACAAAGAAACCAATATTAAATGTTCAGTATGTTTCCTTACCTGTGTTTAGTCGATAGATCCCAACACTATTACGAACACCAAATTTACTTGGCAAAAACAATCCAAACCCATCATTTCCCAGCAATGTGCTTGAAAATATCTGTGCACCGAAACTGTATCAATTTGCCCAAGAGCGCATCGGGAGCGATTCCAAGAGGGGAACAATATCGGCGTATTTCCTCTCGTGGAGACCCCCCCCCCAGTGTCACGCGATCTGCCCAACCGCCCCTCCCCGCCCGGGATCGACCTCCGATATGGCGCCGCCCCGAGCACTTCAGGAAGTGCAGCGCAGCGGCGCCACGCGATCGCTGTCAACCGCGCGCCTCAACTGCACCCCGCGCTGCGGACACACCTTCGAATGTACGTAGAAGCATCTACGATCTTTTTTTGCCTACGAACATGAAATGGGGAATTGCATGTGTGTCATTTACCCCTGATTGTTAGACAACTTATGTGCCAGTGTTTGAAGGTCGCGTTTTGACGCTGTAAAAAGGTTTTTGTATACCGGTTGAACACCACTGTATGATGAGCCGCCATGGCGATTAACCATCAGTGCAAATACTCCTATCGCATCAGTAAGTTCGTTACATTATTATTTACATTGCATTTGATTGGCAAAAAGTGATCATATTTGAACTT